AAGGTCAAATTTTAAGAATTTTCATGTTTTCAAAATTGTCTCCTTTTACTAAGTAATTTTAAAAAAAATTAAAAACTCAATATTCAATACACTTTCTTTCACTTCTTTCATTCCGTCTAGGTTGTTATATTATTTGTATTGATCATTCACCTTAAATCGCAAGCGTATTCCCCAGACATATAACAATATCATTTGAGATTCTGATTCTCGATATTAGACCGCAAACAAGATGCAAAATAATGCTTAGGCATCATGAAGAAATTGACATCTACTACAGCATGATGAAATGTGAATTGACAGGCACCAAAACTGTGTTTGCTAGAGCAAGGAAAAATAACCAAAACTAAAATATAGATTAAATTTTCGAAACCTAGACAGTTCTAAATTTTTGAAACTTGGAGCGTTTTTGTCGTCAAAATGACTAACGGAGGAATTTGAACAAGCCTCCTATAATGTATAGGATGTAAATGATGAAAAGATACATTTATTTTTAAAATATCAATAAAATTTTTGACAAAATGGAATTAATTCAATTAATTAATATTAAAATTGATATTTTAATTACAAGTAATTGAAAAATGACCAATACTTTAGCATTTGTCGTTTTAGTCTTGAACATGATGTGTGGATGTCAGTACACGTTTGAATAAGAGATTGAATTTTACTCGTCATGTTTAATAAAATAATTTCATTGTATCAAATTAAGTCCTTGATTGGCATTGATTTAAATCAAATTTTAATATAAGTAAAGTCAAACAATCAATATTAACTACATATTTTATGGTCTTGTAACTTTTTAACCACACATTTCAAATTTTTTATCAAAATTTACCAAAATTTTAATTTTAATCCCTACCAAACAAGGGCTAAAGAACATAATCAACTTAAAATAAACAGTTTTTAGTTTTGTATTACTCAATTCCATTAAGCTCGTGTTTGACGAGTAACAACTATTACTTTCAAATTCTTTTTTTTTTTTTTTAAATATTCATTTTTAACCACATTCATACAATAAAATATTTTACGCGTAAATTCAAAACTTTTCCTTGATTTGTACGCACATATTCTCATAAAAATCACTATTCAAAACTCGAACATTTCCAATGATTAATAGCAGAAACCCCCTATAAACGTTTCCATTTGCGATATGCCTCTTACCTATTGAAAATCGTAGAAAATCCCCATATTTGAAACGTTTTGTGCGAAAATCTCTTATTGTCAAATTTTTCGTTAAAAACAGTAAAAATATCAAAATTAAAAAGTAATAATTGCAATTTTAATATCTAAATTTTTTATTATTTTACAAATTATACCCAAATTTTTTTTATGCACCACCCACAATTCCAAATCTTTAAAACTTTATTTTCCACCCCACCACATTCTATCTTTTTCCTCAAAACTTCATTATTTTATTTAATCCCTTCCAAAATGTTCATAAATCCCTCACCTCAAATTCATCATTTCTTCTTCTCATTAACAATGAAAAATCATAATCAATACATGCATACAGCCGGGTGGGCAAAAAATCAACCGACCCGACGAAACCGACCCAAACCGACCAGTTTGGGTCGGTTTTTTGCATTTTTTGGGCAGTTTCGGGTTGGGTCGGGTCGAGTTGCGGGTGCCCAACCCAACCCAAAAAAAAAAAAACGTTAAATTGAAAAAACGACGAATAGTTTTCTCAATTATTTTCAGATTATATTAAGAATTAGTTTTTGTTAGCAATTCTTTATTATTAAAACTGGAGCTTTCGAAATTGATCGAGGATTTCAATTAAAAATTTCTTGAAGATAAGG